CAAATTTTTAGATCTAATGTTTGTGAACACGCATGCAAAAAGACAATCAATTTCCATGAGCGATGAGTGCGGTATTCATTACGTAAGACATGTCAATAAAATCCAATATGGCGGCGTATCCATGGAAACGAAACTTTTTTCTCAAATTTGATTGCGGATTTGAAGACTCCTTACTATGCTTGTTATATGTGTGAAATTTGGCAAAATTCGGTCCAGTAATAAGCGAGATAGCCTCCAGGTGTAGTCCCCCCCCCCCTTTTTAAAGAAATATTTGAAAATAAGTCACCCCACGAATTTTTGACTGCACTAAAGTGAGATGTCCATATTGTCTTGTCATTAATACTATCTCAGCCTTTCTGCAGGCATGTTGAGTTTCATTCAGTCAGGATTTTCCCTGACAGACACAAGGCAACTCAGTGCACCTGGTCAGAATGATCTAAAGCGAGGTTATAGAAAGATAAAAGAGAAGCAATCTCAATAAAGATTGTGTAAACTCGGATAACTTTTATTTCTATACAATAAATTTACGAAATAAAAAATACATGAAAATAGATTATAATACTCAATACTGAAACGTTGCCGATTGTAAACGTGAATTCTGTCTGAATCTCGGCATATATCACAGTGAATACTTGGCAATAAAACAGTCTTATGTTTTGCTTTGCTTTTCTTAGATTTTTCCCCACCCCAGTTCCCATTCAAAAGACGTAGCCTGGTTAGTTAACCGTAGTGTACTTGGTTTGTTGAGAATCCTAAAGAAAAAAGATGAACCTTTGATTTTTACCATAGTTTGTGATAAAATCATGATCAGCCATTAGACAACACTGGGCCATTTCCGATTTTGCTGATATAACATCGCCTCTTCCAAACGTCCCCTCGCTGTTTATTTTTGTTATTGAAAGTGAGAAAAAGTGGAGCTTTCCTTTCTCGGAACAGTAAATGAAATGGAACAGCTTTACAGTGCATATTGTGGTATTTAACCAACAAAATTACACAATCTGTTTTATTTTTGTTTCTGTCGGTTGGACTTGCTGTGCAACGTTTAGGCTCTTCGTTGTTGCGCGCAAAATACATGAGTTCGATTCCTACGAAAAAAATTCTATTTCATCCAGTATAATAATATTATTCTTTCTGCTTGACTGCTCTGTGTCCCGCTCAGTCAGAGTTGCAATGACAGGCAGCTTTGAAGTAGTTAAAAATCTGGAAAACATTTACCAGACATTCGTTCCTAGTTTATTTTTTTACGATTGCTCCCCCCCCCCGATTCCTCCCCTGCCCCTTCCCACTCCGAAACAATTAACTCACAATTGCGTCGATGAAACAAATATTCTGACTAATAATAAACAATTAACATATCACTTGTATCTCTCCACTGCCTGAATTTTTTTGTAACAGAATAGCTACCTTCAGACCTTCCCTCCCTTGCCATGATTCTATGATTCAATCAGAACGATTAAGGCTGGTGTATAATATAGTCAGCGAGGAGCTACGTACGATTTAACTTAATTGGCTTTTAATCATAAGCAAATTTGATCTGAAAGAAGAAATATAAGGGTGGAGTTCAAAAAAGAAATTAGATGTGTTTTCAAACGGAAGTGATAAACAACATATCAAATTTGTGCTCAAACACGACATAAAAATACAAAATGGCACCACGATAATTCACATGAAAAATCAATCGAAATAAAAAACAAAGTGTAAAAATACGAACAGGTTAAATTAAAGTCAGATTTTTGTACATAGATTTCTGTCTGTGTGGCGTTAGAAAGACGTACGCAGATCTTTCTTTTTGTTCAAGATGAGCAAACTGAGGATTGCTATGTTTTAATAAGGCCAAGTGAAATAATTGTTTCTAGTCAAGCCATTGAAACTCGAAACAGAAATAAGCTTGAGCAAAAAACGCGGGCCTTCAGATGCAGCAAGGTGCAGTCTTTTCAACCGGAGGGTCATGTTTCCTTGCGAAACTTGAATCCTGTGGGCTACTTTCATTTCTACGACGGTTGCCAAAACATTCAAGAGCCTCATGACAGTGTCCATACAGCGTAGACGTGTCTGTTAAAGACTGCGTGTAAGTCTCATAACGCTTTGTAAGTTGGAAACACGATGTTGTTCTACCATTATTTCAAATAGTCTGCTAAAAAAGTGTAACACTCCCATGAAATTATCCCCCCCCCCCCTTTGCAAGAAAAAAAGCATCTCCGTGGAGAAAATACTAAGCTATCAAGTGCGCCCCTTCATTGTAGCTGCATTTCACATCTAGGAGCCTGCAAACCGTGCAGTACCGTTATATGACATTTGTTTCAATGCCCCAAAGCACACATTATCACTAGGAACAGTTCACACATTCTGGTAAATCATTCTGTATCATTCATACAACAGATGACCTCTGACGTCATCACACAAATCACGACGTCACCACCACATCAGTCCCTGGCGTCAACCCAACAACCACTGGCGTCACACAACATCAATCGCTGACGTCAGCCAGAGGCATGACATCTTCGTGGTGACGTATGCCCATGGAAAACCTCGGCGAACTGAAGGCGGTGCCGTTAACTGTCGGGAAGTAGTAGTCGGGTCCTGGCGTTACGGTCTTGTTGGTCAGACGCTTTGTGCGCATGCCCATGGTGTAGGCTGGTCCGCCGCTGTAGGTGGCATTGCCGTAGTTGTAGCTCGGGCCGGGGGATTTGGCGTAGTCGTAGGCGAAACCCTGGAGGAAAAAACA